ATGTTTTACGAGAATTCCAGTTACAAATAAAGTATAACCTCGGTGAAGGGCACAAAATTCCAAGAAAACTTGTATTGAACTGTATGTCAGTTTAAAAATAGACCTGCCAGGCAGATTAGGAGGAGGAGTTGGCCCTTAATTAGACTGATGGAAAATGTTACTTTTGAATACAAGTTAAAAATTGAAGCATGAAGAGACTACATTATGTGAATAGCATAGAAGGGAACATGGGAAAACTTAGTTTACTTTGAAGCATAGGACAACAGCTGGGCACTTTCTCAGCAAAGGGGAAAATTGGCAGGAGAGCCACTCTGGATTACTTTTGTGCATGTTAAAAATAACCAAGGAAATAGATTGACTGCCTCGTACAAAGAAGTGGCAAATAACACGACAAGAACCAAAAGGAATGGGAGAATAAATATTGAAGATGTTGAATTTGGGTGTTGACACCAGTGCAACTGTCTAAAGGATGTCATCTATTAACTGGTATTGAAACAAGTTCAGTTATGACACTTAAGAGGAAATTTATAAGTATTTAAGCAAGAAAAGCATTAAAAGGCTGAAGGAAATTTGAATTAGACTAGAGATCTTTGGTAAGAGAACTGTCATCAACATAAGTAGTGAGTCAAAATGGCTGTTTCGGTATTGAAACTTATTTTGCGGGAGGTAGTGATGTAGTAGTAATATCTAATGATCTAGTAATCCAGAACCCCAGACTGAAGTTTTGGGGACATGGGTGAAATTTGAATTCAACAAAAATTTGGAATGAAATGTTAGCCTAATGACAACTGTATAACCATTGTCGATCATTGCTTCTAATATCTGTCAGGGAATGACATTTGCTATCCTTACCTGATCTGGCCTACATGTAATTCCTGACCTCAACAATGTGGTTGACTCTTAACTTCATTAAGGCAAGAAAGACATCAGGAAAGTAAGCACTTTTTCTGTTCAAATTTTGATTCCACTTCCTCCGACATTCTGCACTTAGAGGCAGAGATTAATCTGGACGAATCAACATAGTCAAGGGGAGGGCATGTCAAACCAACTTGAATTTTTCAAAGCAGTAAACAGGTCTGTAGATGAGGGCAATACATTTGATGCAGCCTACTTAAACTTCAGTAAGGCTTTTGATAAGGTCTCGCATGGGAAGCTGATGGCAAAGGTAAGAGCCCATGGGATCCAGGAAATTGGGCAAGTTGAATCCAGAATTGGCTAAGTGGCAGGAAGCAGCGGGTGATCGTCAAGGGTGTTTTTGTCATTTGAAGATTAGGTCATTTCTGTTTATGGTATGTATAAATTGTTTAGACTTGAATGTAGTAGGTTGAAGAGTAAGTTCGCGGATGAAACAAAAATTGGTGGATATAAATCGTGAGTAAGGTAGCCTTAGGATGATGTAGAGGGGCTGATCAGTGGCAAATGGAATTCAATCCAGATAATTGTGAAATGACACACTTGTACAGGACAAACAAGACGAGTATAAAACAATAAAATAAAACAAAAAACTGTGGATGCTGGAGACCAGAAATAAAAACATAAATTGCTGGTGAAATGCAGAAGGTCGTGGTAGCATCTGCGGGAAGAAAGTAGAGTTAAAGTTTCAAGTGTGGTGAAGAATCACCAGACTTGAAATGTTAGTCCTGTTTTTTCTCCCCACAGATGCTGCCAGGCCAGCTGAGTTTAACATGGGAATACATGATGAACGGGAGGACCCTGGGAAGTGTTGAGGATCAGAGGGATTTTTTGAGGAGGTTATGCTGGAAGTGGATATAAACTTGGTTAGACCACAGAATTGTGTGCAGTTCTAGAATCCACATAATGGGGATTGATTGCACTGGAGAGCAGAGGAGATTGACTAGGACACCACCTGAGCTGCAAAGTTTGTTACGAAGAGAGATTGGACAGACTGGGATTGTTTTGCTTGGAGCAGGAGAGATTGAGAGGGGACGTGATTTGAGATGTAGACAGGAAGGAATTTTTCTCCTTGATGGAGGGATCAATGATCAAGGGATCAGGGATTATTTAAGGTAAGGGGCAGGGCGTTCATCGGTGCTGAGAGGATAACATCTTTCACCCAGAGGGTGATAAGAACATGGAATTCTCTACCTGTAAGTGTGGTGGTAGCAGAAGCTGTCGTAACATTGAAGAAGTACTCAGATGTGCATTTGCAATGTTATGCACCAAATGCTGGAAAATGTTATTGACCATGTTTTTCATCCCTAATTTCCCAGAAGGATTCTCATCAAATGTCATTTTGCCCACGTCACAAGTCATTTTAAAAAAACCACACACCCAAGCATAAAGTATGTAAGCTTATGTAATCTTTCCAACTAGAACATTTTTTAAATCACCACCTCCCTTTTGCCTCAAACTTGAACAAAAAATCAAAAACAACGCTTTACTACAGTCCCTTGCCTGAGTGAAAATCTGCATGGTTATATCCAGATAGAAGAGGTGAAATGGATTAAATAAGATCCAGACTTTACTTTCTTCTCAAGAGAAGGGATGTTGAAAATAATACTGGTTCTCTGCTTCTCTGAGAAGTTGTGCCAGTTAATCTTTCTGGAAGTTTGCCCTACGCAAATGCTGTTCATAGGAGTATCTTAATATAGTACCACAGTTTCTTTTGTGGTAACGCCCTTATTCAGCGTTTATTTCAGTTGTCAGAGCAAAATGTATATGTCAGCATTAGACTCTTCGGGTACATTATGTTTAATAGAATTTTCATCTCGTCTTTTTCTCTTCAGCATGTGGTCAGGATGTATTGTGCAAAGCACGTAGCTTTGGCAGCGCGATTGAGTGAGATAAAAGCATGTTGTTTGAAGTATTTCCTGTCTCGGATGGAAGATAAGGAAATTCAGAATGAGTTCCAGGCATTGACAAGTACCTCATGTCTAAGTAAAGAACACAGCTGTAAAGCATTTTCCTTGACTGTGTAGAGAGTTTGCTTTAAAAAAAAAAATAATCTTCAAGTTGCAAAAAAAAGAATTGAAATATATGACCGTCATTGCAAGAGGAACTACAAGAGGAATGTCCTTTGTCCCTAAAAGCTGTGGCATTCTCTGGAACTTCCAAATGGTGGTTGAGATATTGAAGATTTTGAATTCAGCAGAACCAGAGTATTTTCTTATGTTTAATTGATCTTTTTTTGTTAGTTTATAGAATCCCTACAGTGTGGAAACAGGCCCTTCGGCCCAACAAGTCCACACAGACCCTTAAAGCATTCCACAATGCTTCACAGTGGTGTTCAAAAATGTTTGAGGTTAATTTAACTGTGACATATCATAATGTAAATCCAACTATAATTGCAGCAGTTTTTTTTGCTTTAGTGGATTCATCACTGTACAACTTATTTTGTTTTATGGCCCTTAGAACATTATTAAGCACTTTTCTAATCATTGGTGACTAACAACTTGCACTTGCATAGGACCTTTAGTGTACCAGATGCCACATGGTGCTTTACTAGCGCTAGCAAACACAACTTAACACTATCCAGTTCTGAGGAAGGGTCTCTGGACCTAAAACATTAACTCTGATTTTTTCTTCACAGATGCTGCCAGACCTGCTGAGCATTTCCAGCAACTTCTGTTTTTGTTCCTGATTTACAGCATCCGCAGTTCTTTCGGTTAACTCTATACAAACCGTAGAATGGGATATTAGAACAAATGATCAAAAGTTTGTCAGTGAGTTGACTTTTGTGGATTGTTTTAAGGGAAGAAAGATGTGGAGAGAGACCAGATTTAAGGTGGAAATTAGTGGCCAGATCATGACACCTAATGATGCATCTGGTATTGTTGAAGTACATCAGGCCAGAATGGATGGATGGATGTCTGAGAACACTGATGGGATTGGTGGGTTAGGTGCAAGACTGATAGAGATCACAGGTAATGAGGGCAAGGCCATCAATGGATTTAAAAATTATACTGAGTATTTTACAATTAATGCCTTTCTTAACCGCGTGCTCTTTGAGGCCATTAAGCACAAGGTAAATGGGTGAGTGAGGTGCTGTGAGTTAAGACATGTAATGGAGAGGAGATTTGAATGACTTTGTGTTTGCAGAAGGAAGAACTGAGGAAGGCAGTGGCATAATGGTAATATAATCCAGAACTTCGGGTTAATGTTCTGGGGATTATGGGTTCATATCCCATCATGGCTGATGATGACATTTGAATTCCAAAGAAGCCTATCAATTATCGTAAAACCTATCTGGTTCACATGCCCTTTAGAGAAGGAAATCAGCCATCCTTAATTATTCTGCTTTATGTTTGACTCCAGATCCAAAACAATGTGTAGGTTGACTGTGTACTGCTATTGGACAATAAACGCTGGCCTAGCCAGCAGCACCTACCTCCTATGAATGATTAGAATAAAAAAGTGGATATGCAATGTAGTAGCTAATTGTTAAGGTAATAAAGGCATGAATTGAGAGGTTTCAGCAGCAGATCAGCTGAAATGATGACGGCGTTTGAAATATTGTGTTTATTGATGATTTGCAGTTAACACTCTGCCTCTTTACAAAACTATCCAAGAGTGGAACACGAGTGTTTAATCGCATTAATCTAAATGGATTTAGCCATTCGGGCTCGTTGCATGTCCATGCAAGGAACTTGCAGCATTAAGGGATTAGAAGAGGAAAAACCTGTTAGAAAAGCCTGTAAACTTTCATGTTTAAACAGCAAAGTATTTTACATATGTGATGGATTGGCCGTGGATTTGCTTCAGAAATGAAAATAATCACATCAGTTTTATCAGATTTCTACACCTATTTGCCAAATTGTGCATGAAACGCAGCTTTTCTGTTCTATCTCTATAATCCAGATGTAATGTGTACTGCTCTATTTTAAATCGAGTGATAAAATGGCTGTGCTGTATTGTGTGTATGGTATGGAAAATTATGGAGAGGAGGATTGGCGATTGATTTTTGGGCAATATAACAGTGGATCTTGTGCAGTGTATTATGAACATATTAATGTTGTTATCTTTTGAATTACTGTTCGTAGGTTACCGTGCATTGAAAGCTTTTGGCTGCTCATGTAAATTTGAGACTTCTCTGCCAAAGACAGAAGTGAAATGACTGCTAAGAAATTTGAACTAGAGTGCAATGGACTGCTGAAGTCATGGGAATTAGACCAGTGAACTGCATGAGTATACCTACAGCAGTGCTGTATGGTTCCTTATCTCTGTTTGTCTCCATTCTGCACAATGTGTTCCTCCTATACTACGTAGATACATTTGTATCTGTTTACAAAATTGATAAAGTATCCTTCTGGATTGGGGAGGTGAGTCTATTTTTTTTTAAAGTTTTACTTGGTAGCACATCCATAATTTTTCTGTCAGCACTGAGATACATAGTTGCAGCTGTTCACAGTTGCCCGTGGCAAACTGTCTAAAATGTTTAACAGAATTCTTTCTTTAGTGCCATACTTGACTGTTGCAGTATAAAGTTTTGTTCATTATAACAAGTGAAATGTTGATGGTTCAAATAGAGGAATTCAACATCCTCAAAGTGTTAGATTTTTTGTTATTGCAAAATCTTTTATTGCTGCGTACAGCAACATAAACTGTTCTTTCAAAATTAAAACCTTAGTTTCTTTTCATTAATTATTTATAATCTGTTTCAGAAATACTTGCAATCACTGCCCAAATGGAATATTCAGTAAATGCAGTAAGATTGACTTATGATGGCATGAGATTCCAGATGGTCTTGTTCTTAATCACACTGTCACTTTACAGCTATTTAAAATGAGAAATTTTCTTATTGTAATCAAGTTGAGTGAATTTTGTAGTCTAGATCATTTTAAAAATAACTTACTGGGGCCCGTGACAAGGTAAATACATTTCAGTTTGTCTTAAATCCCATCCACAAATGCTGTAAACTGTATAAGCAGTTGGACAGTTTGAGTGTTAAGTATAGTACGATGTAAAACAAATGTAATTTTGGTGTTTTTGAAGCAACTTGTAGTTCTTTGTTCTTCTGTACAAAGGATTAGGAAATGGTTGAAGTGAAATTTCAAGTTTCAATGTTTAGTCATTGATCTGTTGGGGTTTGCTGAACAGAGTTTGTCAAGAGTAATTGAACACTTTTTGGTGGGGTTGGGGAGGAGAGAAAATATTTGGAATATTTTTATAATTCCTTCATTTGCTCTTTCTTAGATGTGAATTGGCCAGGAAGAATGAAATCAAAATCAATGCTGTGACATAAAGATAAACCTGTCAGTAATTTGTTTGAAATAACCTTGGGAAAGGTGGTAGTTGGAGAGCTTTCAAAGGCCTTATGCATGGACTGAATGGACAAATAAATATCAATTTACTGATTAGTACAATTATAATTTAATGATTATTGCAATTTGCAAGATACCTGAATGACTTTGTACACATCTTGAGCATGACTTTCAAATCGAAAAGTATTATTTAACCATATCAGCATCATGGTAATGAGCTTGTAGCTTGAAATACAGCTTTACAGGAATCTAAAGGGATTCAGAAAAGTTTGTTCCTGTCCATTTCTATTGAAACCAGTAAAATCTATAATCCTGGAAGTGTTCTAATTTTTGTATAGACAGCCAAACTCTGGGGAGAAGTTTAACTCTGGTGATAAGTTGTTTATTTCTATGTTCCTTTCTTTCTTTATACCTTGCATCTTGTTATTGTGGTTTTTGAATGAGCAGTCAATCAAATTGATCATACTTGACTGTGTATTTGATCAGCAGTCGATGTACATACTTCAGTTGTAGAGTCATACAGCATGGAAACAGACCCTTCGGTCCAACTAGTTATGCTGACCTCTTCCCAAACTCAAATAGTCCCACCTGCCTGTATTTGGCCCATATCCCTCCAAACCTTTGCTATTCATGTACTCTTATGTACTTATCCAAATGTCTTTTAAACACTGTAACTGTTCCTGCAGCCACCATTTCTTGCAGTTCATTCCACGCACTAACTATTCTGTGTTTAAAAAACATTGCCCCTCATGTCCTTTTTTGTTAAGTCTTTCTCCACTCACCTTAAAAATATGTCCCCTAGTTTTGACTCACCCCACCCCCAGCATTTCAGGGAAAAGACCTTTGCTGTTCAACTTATCTATGCCCCTTATGCTTTTATAAACCTATAAGGTAATCCCTCGACCTCCTATGCTCCAATGATTAAAAGTTCCAGCCTATTTTAATACCCCAAACCTTCCATTCTTGGCAACATCCTGGTAAATCGTTTCTGAGCCCTCTCCTGTTTAATTTTTTAAATTCATTTTGTGGGATGTGGGCGTCGCTGGCCGGCCAGCATTCATTACCCGTCCCTTGTTGCCCTTGAGAAGGTGGCGCTGAGCTGCCTTCTTAAACTGCTGCAGTCCGTGTTCTTTGGTATGACCTACAATGCCATTAGAGAGGGAATTCCAGGATATTGATGCAGCAACAGTGAAGGAACGGCGTTATATTTCCAAGTCAGGATGGTGAGTGGCTTGGAGGGGAACTTGAAAGTGGTGGTGATCCCATATATCTGCTGCCCTCCTCCTTCCAGATGGAGGTGGTTGTGGGTTTAGAAGATGCTGTCTGGGGATCTTTGAATTTCTGCAGTGCATCTTGTAGATAGCACACACTGCCAAATGGTCACAGCCTGGCATTTGTGTGGCAGGAATGTTACTTTATAAACCTGTATAAGGTCACCCCTGAACCTCCTACACTGCAGCAATAATAGTCCCAGCCTATTTTTATACCTCACCCTCCATTCTCGACAACATCCTGTCAGCCCAAGCCTGGATATTGTCCAGATCTTGCTGCATTTGAACGCAGACCGCTTCGTTATCTGAGGAGTCACAAATGGCGCTGAACATTGTGCAATCGTCGGCGAACATCCCCACTTCTGACCTTATGATGGAAGGAAGGTCAGTGATGAAACAGCTGAAGATGGTTGGGCCTAGGATGCTACCCTGAGGAACTCCTGCAGAGGTGTCCTGGAGCTGGGATGATTGACCTCCAGCAACCACAGCCATCTTCCTATGTGCAAGGTATGACTCCAACCAGCGGAGAGCTAATCCTCTGATACCCATTGATTCCAGTTTTGCTAGTGCTCCTTGATGCCGCACTTGGTCAAATGCAGCCATGTTATCAAGGGCTGTCAATCTTACCTCTGGAATTCAGCTCTTTTGTTCATGTTTGAACCAAGGCTGTAATGAGATCAGGAGCTGAGTGGCCCTCATGGAACCCAAACTGGGCGTCACTGAGCAGGTGCTGTGTGATGGCACTGTTGATGACACCTTCCATCACTTTACTGATGATTGAGAGGAGACTGATGGGGTCGTAATTAGCCGGATTGGATTTGTCCTATTTTTTATATTCAGGATATACTTGGGCAATTCTCCGCATTGGCGGGTAGATACCAATATTGTAAATGTATTGGAATAGCTTGGTTAGGGGAGCAGCACATTACTGAAGATTGTCCTGCAGGCTGCTGCTGGAAGTTTGTGAGCCCATAGCCTTTCCAGTATCCAGTGTCTCCAACCGTTTCTTGAAATCACGTGGAGTGAATCAAATTGGCTGAAGACTGGAATCTGTAATGCTGGGGACCACTGGAAGAGGCCGAGATGGATCATCCACTCGGCACTTCTGGCTGAAGATTGCTGGGAATGCTTCAGCCTTATCTTTTGCACTGATGTTCTGGGCTCTTCCATCATTGAGCATGGGGATATTTGTGGAGCCCCCTCCTCCAGTGAGTTGTTTAATTGTCCACCACCATTTCATGACAAAACGTGGCAGGATTGCAGAGCTTAGATCTGATCCGTTGGATGTGAGATCGCATAGCTCAGTCTATGTTATTATGTTGTTTGGCGTGAAAGTAATCCTGTTTAGTGGCTTCACCAGGTTGACACCTCATCTTCAGGTACGTGTGGTGCTGCTCCTGGCATGCCCTCCTGCACTGTTCATTGAACCAGGGTTGATCCCCTGGCTTGATGGTAATGGCTGAATGGGGGATATGTCTGGCTGTGAGGTTACAGATTGTGTTGGAGTACAATTCTGCTGCTGATGGCCCACAGCACCTCATGGATGCCCAGTCTTGAGTTGCTAGATCTGTGCAAAGTCTGTCCTAATTAACACAGTGATAGTGCCACACAACACATGGAGATTATTGTCAATGTGAAAGTGGGACTTTGTCTCCACAAGGACTGTGTGGTGGTCGCTCTTACTGATACTGTCATGGACAGATGCATCTGCAGCTGGCAGACCTGTAAGGATGAGGTCAAGTATATTTTTCCCTCTTGTTGATTCCCTCATCACTTGCTGCAGACCCAGTCTAGCAACTGTCCTTTAGGAGCTGACCAGCTCAATCAGTAGTGCTGCTGCCAAACCACTCTTGGTGGTGGACATTGAAATCCCCCACCCAGAGTACATTCTGTGCCCTTGCCATCCTCAGTGCTTCCTCCAAGTGTTGTTCAACATTGAGGAGTATTGATTCATCAGCTGAGGGAGAACGGTATGTGGTAATCAGCAGGAGGTTTCCTTGCCCATTATAATAATAATATTCTTATTCTTATTCTTAATCTCATTATTCCTATTCCTATTCCTCTTCTTCTTCTTCTCCTTATTTTAATAATATCCTTCCTATAGCAGGGTGACCGGAACAGCGCGCACTACTCCTGAAAAGGCTTCACCAGCGTTCTGTGCAACCTCAACATGTTGTTGCAACTCCAAAGAGCGGTTATGAATTGAACGTTTGCTCTTTTCAGGTGTATCGATGGTAACCTGTAAAGAACAAATGTTGGTGTCTCTTTGGTTAGGGGGTCAGTTAGCTCAGTTGACTGGATTCCTGGTTTGCAGTGCAGAGTGCTGCCAGTGTATGTGTTCAATTCCCGCACTGGCTAAAGTTAACGTGAATGACCCTCCTCACCCTCTCCCCATCCCTGAGGAGTGGTGATCATCAGGTTAATCCACCACCAGTTGTGTGTCTCTAGTGAGAGAGCAGCCCTTCCTTTAGAACAGTAGTGATTTTTACCTTTTCATATTGAAGTGCATTCATTCTTTTCCGTATTATATTTCTAAAGGCCCTAAATGCAGATAGATTTGTGTCTGCCAGCACGATCCTGTTAAAACGTGAGTCATTGAACCACAACCTTAAGGACTTGCTCGTACAGAACAAAATGTACAATAACTGTTGGGAATCTGTCTGCTCAGCTACGTGCTTCTCTCCACACCACTCACTTCGAACTACCCATAGGAAAAGTTTGCTTCTTTGACTATATCCACATTTTTAGCAAGTGACTCTGCCATATTTGATTTAATCTCCAAAAAGTCAGGAAGGCCTGTGTAGGTCAGGAACATAAATTCATAATTAATCCGATTCGTTAGCTGTGAAGCATTTACTTTTTTAATCTTCTTGCTACCCAGGAAAGTTTTTTTAGGAATAGAGGGATTTATTTTTGTCCCATTTGGTTCTGTTAAATGTTTTTATTTTATTTCTGAACAAGAATAATTATTTAGGTTCTCTCCTGTGAAGCTAGGCGGAGTATATTTTTCCCTCTTGTTGATTCCCTCATCACTTGATGCAGACCCAGTCTAGCAACTGTCCTTCAGGACAGGACCAGCTTCAACAGTAGTGCTGCTGCCGAGCCACAAAAGGGCAGGAATAGACGAAAATGAGATCTGGAAATTTGCCTTACCACCTTCAAAGACTTGCGTACAGGAAGCCCCAGGTGTCTGCATCCATACCCCATTTGAAATTGAGCTAAATAGTTTGTTTCCTTGGCTCGTTTTTGCAGGTACTTACTCGTAATTAGGGGAAGGTGATGGCCTCGTGGTATTATCACCGGACTGTTAATCCAGAGACCCAGATAACGTTCTGGGGACCTGGGTTTGAATCCCGCCATGGCAGATGGTGGAATTTGAATTCAATAAAATATCTGGAATTTAAGAACCTAATGATGACCATGAATCCATTGTTGATTGTCAGAAAAACCCATCTGGTTCACTAATGTCCTTTTAGGGAAGGAAACTGCCATCCTTACCTGTCTGGCCTACATGTGACTCCAGACCCACAGCAATGTGGTTGACTCATAACTGCAGAGATGGACAATAAATGCTGCCTAGCCAGCGACGCCCTCGTGTCGTTAATGAATAAAGGAAAAAAAACACACTTTACAATCTCCACAAATGTTGCTTGAGGCCAAAACATTGACTGTCTTCAAGGAGATAAACATAGATGGATAAACATAGACGATCAGCCATAATTCTGTTGAATTCTGGAGCAGGCTCAGCAGCTGAATGGCCTATTCCTGCTCCTATTTTGTATGTTTTCTAATGTTCTGTTAAATATCAGCTACCACGTATTTTCATCAATCACTGTGTCCTCATGAAATCTGCTATGGTTCCCATTGTTCACTCTGTATGCCAGAAAGTGCGGATTCTATACTCAACAATAGGCTATTGATGTATATCAGAAGTACATCTGTAATGCACTCCTTAACGCACTCTATTGTGCAAATGAGTCACTTGAGATATCATGCTTTCTGTTAGCTGTATCCTTTAAGTGACATCTATGAGATAATGAAACAAAATTTTGTGGATGACAAGGGTATGTTAATATATGACAGTCATTTTAACTGTTGGTGTAAAACAATGATTTGAGGGTATTTTCCAGGTTAGTTATCACTCGTCAGGATGCTGTCAGGTTCTGAAGTACTCATCGTTTTACCTTATCTAGGTTGACTCTTTCACCCTTGTATCCAGTGAGTTTCTGCTTCCTTGTTTTCTTCAGTTTAATGTTCATTTTCTTTTCTTTCAGACCATTTTTCTACTATGGAACAGTCTTAATGATCCACTATTTGGGTGGCTTAGTGACCGCTCATTTCTGAGCACACAGCAGTAAGTAATATGGTCATTCTCTTTAACGAGAACCTGTGAAAAATTGTTTAAATTTAAAACTGGATTCACCAAATCAAAATCACTGAACTGTTTTGCACAGTGCCTCACATGAAAATGTTGCTTTGAGTTCAGTTACTTCGTCTATTGTAGCATTGGTAACCCACTATTAAACATTTATTATCTGTGCAAGGCATAGCAAACTTGTAAATAAAAAATACAAGCTGTTGCCTTAAGTAAAATCTATGAAAGTTATTGATATGGTATCAAGCTTGAAAGTAAAATTTTCTGAAGTAAAGCTGCTTTTGCTTTCCCACATGTCAGGAGCACATGGATTTTTATAATAAATGTCGTGAATTTCATCCTTTCTTCGTTTCAGCACAGTCATCCGCAGAAATGTCCAATGGCTACCACATTTTTTATTGCTGAGTTATTTTGGCCCTGTTCTTCCAGCCCGAGTGCATTTAATGATTTCTTACCATTAAGATGGAGGTCATTTTGCATATTATATCCTGCTTTATTTGTAATTTAGTTTGTAATGTTGATTGATGGCCTGTAGTAGTAGTTCAGCATTGCAGGTTCATTAGGGCATTGTGACTTTGTTATAGTATCTATTTGAATTTCTAGTGAATTTTCAGCCTCTGTAAAATGGCTCAGCTGGTTTTAATGGTGAGCAGCCTGTATATTCCAGGAAAGTCTAAGCACTTCATGCCATAAACTTGTGACTGTGTTTCAAGAGGGTTATTGAGCTGAAATGAAGAATTAGTGATAGACAAGAATAAAAATGTGCAAAATATAGAAAATAAGTTCACAGCAAAATAGATTGGAAACGGTGAAAAATTAGTGAGGGTAAGAAAAACAGCAGCTGAAAGCCTTTCCTTGTTTTATGTGGAGCAAATACTTGTAACTTTTTAAAGATGTTTTATTTGACTTTGATAGAATACTAATATTTACCATCACTCTCGTTATTGCATCAGACAAAGTGCCAAATGTGATTCAAACCAAATATTTGTACTTGTGTCCACTATCCCATTTCATCAGAGATAGTTCAGGGAATTCAGTGGGATGATCCCCTATATGGATGGGTTGTCTTACGAGCAAACATTAAACAGTTTGGGACTCTACTCACTGAAGTTTTTTTTTAAAAAATGAGGTGATTTCATTGAAACATACAGGATTCTTAAGGGGCTTGACAAGGCTGAGAGTCTAGGACCAGAGGGTGTAGCCTCAGAATAAAGGGGCATCAATTTAAACTGCAGCGAGGAGGAATTTCTTCTGAGGGTTGAGTGTCTTTCGAACTCCATGCCAGAGAGAGCCGTGGGCAGAGTCCTTGTATATATTTAAGACTGAGATTCATGATCAGTCACCGAATTGGGGAAAAGAGCAGGAAAGTGGACATGAGGAATGTCAGATCAGCCATGATCCTATTGAATGGTGGAACAGGCTCACTGGGCTGAATGGCCTGTTCCTGTTCCAATTTAATGGTGTTTTGGTACCACTGAGAGAAAAGCATACAGGTTTACATGCAGTTTCTCCACTTGCACATCCTTCACTCTATCTGATTTTTGCCATGCTATCAGAGTTCAGAAAAGTCAGGCTTTGCTACCTAAAATGGGCAGTCTGAGGTTATTGTACAGAAGTGTTACTGCGTAAAATTAAGAGTCCTGGCAAAGATCAACAATCTTCTGTTTCGAACCGAGAATGGTTTCTAACCTGGTGTGACCTAAAAGGGGAGTGGAGAGGTCACAACAAGAACAACCCAGTTCTGAGTTATAAAGACAGAACCTCAAACGTGTGTCATTCTAAAAACTTAATTCTCAATTGTGTAGAAGAAAGAAGAGTTAACTGAATTAATCAAAATTTTTCTTTTTTTTTGAAAGTTTCTGGATAAAGTGAGTTTAAATGGTTTGAGTAAGCAGTTTCAAGTGTTTGGGTTTTTATTTTGAAGGTTAACCATGCTTAGATGGGATGTTTGTTCCTTTCCATCACTTGCATGATTTAAAAGTTGAATGAATACATTTTGTTCAATAATTCTGGAAACTCTTTTTTCTTAAGATCAGCTTCAATTCTCTGGGCAGTTAAGTTATCCATTATGTCAAAATAATCGCAAGACTGGTCCTGATTAACTCCATGGTAAAATTAAATATTGACATTCTAGGCTAAATATGTTTTTTGTACATTTGTAGAATGTTTATGTTTGTGTGATAATATAAATTTGAAGTTTTTATAATATTTAAGCATCTCTAGTTTTGAGTGCGAGTATAACTGTTGAAAACCAGTCCTAAATCCGAGACAAACCCGGTCTACAGTGCCCCATAAAAATGACCTTGATGTTATTAATTGCTAGTCATGCAATAACCACAGGGAGAACCAGACAGTTTTATTAATAGACTGTGTGTAGTTTTGCACAGCATCCACTTGTATTTAATGTACTTCAATGCTTTCTTGCAGATCAGGTGCTGCGATCCCGACTCCAGAAGTGGTATTGAAACGACTGAAGGCGTTAATGCGAAATGGTCCTCTGTTTGCTTTATCATTCCTCTCTTTCTGGGTGGTTTGGGCCCGCCCAGGAGTACAATTTCTCATCTGCCTTTGTCTGTATGATGGATTCCTCACCCTGGTGGACCTTAATCATAATGCCTTACTGGCAGACCTGGCAGTATCGGAAAAGGACAGGACTAGACTGAATTTTTACTGTTCCCTTTTTAGCGCACTTGGCTCCTTGTCTGTATTTATGTCCTATGCAGTGTGGAACAAGGAAAACTTTCTCTCATTTAGACTCTTCTGCGTAGCATTGGCTGCCTTTTCGACTCTAGGTTTTAGTTTCTGCACCTGGATTCTCAGACAGCGATTTCAGTTGGAGCTCAAAGTCAAATACGAGGAGGCTTCCATACTAGAGGAGTGAGTATTTATTTATTTATTTCTTCCCTTGTTTTCCAACACACACCTTTCTCACCATGTTAACAAGTTCAGTTATTTGCTGCTTTATGTTGCTGAATAGCCTGTACTTTGCCTGGAATGGCTTTCAATACCAAGTTCTTTTTCTCTCTTCGTTACTGTGTTCTTGTGTTGATCCACTGTAAGACCCTGGGTCTGCATTCGCCTATGTTGATGTGTGGGTGCAAGAAGCTGAGTTAGTTTGTGCAATGGTATCTGGTGGCCACTGGTCATGAAAAGACTTTCAGAGCCTCTTTCCAGAACCACCGCCACCCCACCCTACCCTATCCCTATAACCCTACATTTCCCATGGCTAATCCACCTAGCCTGCACATAACGGGCAATTTAGCATGGCTAGTCCACCTAACCTGCACACCTTTGGACTGTGGGAGGAACCTGGAGTGCCTGGAGAAAACCCACACAGACACGGGGAGAACGTGCAAACTCCACACAAACAGTAGCCCAAGAGTGGAATTGAACCTGGGTCCCTGGCGTTGTAAGGCAGTAACGCTAACCACTGAGTCACCGTGCCACCCTATATGGATGATGGTATTCACTGGAAACGTGGTTGTAAGTATGTTTAACCTTGAATGACAAAGGGGTATACTCATTGTCTACTACATCAGGCACCCATTTTAGAAGGGGAAAAGCAGCTTTTTCCTTCTGTCGTGGGATATGGGCGTCACCGGCTAGGCCAGCGTTTATTGCCCATCCCTAATTGCCTAGAGGGCAGTTTAGAGTCAACCACATTGCCGTGGGTCTGGAGTCGTATGTAGGCCAGACCAGGTAAGGACGGCAGTTTCCTTCCCTAAAGGACATTAGTGAATTAAATGGGGTTTTTCTCCCCCTAACAACAATCAACAATGATTTCATGGGCATCCTTAGACTCTTAATTCCAGTTTTTTTTGTTTTTTTTTGAATACAAACTTCACCATCTGCCCTGGAAGGAATTGAACATGGGTCCACAGAACATTATCTGACTCTCTTGATTAATAGTCTAGCAATAATGCCACTAGGCCATCACCTCTCGCTTTCATCTGGAGTACCTTCCCATTCATAAGAGCTAACAAGTCAAGGGTATGCATAATAAATGGTAGATATGATAAATGTGCAGGAAAAGAGGGCCTTTTAATACGTGCCTGCACATTCCTGAAGGTGGCATCATACATGAGGCTCATGAAGAGGACATAGGGGATACTTGTCTTTATTAGTTGTGGTGTAGGATATAGGATTTGGGAATACTCTCCTGCACCAGAGCTTCCAGTGATCAATTCACGGGGGTGGCACATCTGACTTTCAATCATATGCTCCCAGGAATTCCTGACAACTCTCGCTTATTTGGATTGCGTTTTTTTTTAACAGCCTTTTGAGATGCAAGTTAGTTTGCTGTGACGAATGGTGGCAGGAATGATTTGAAAATTGAGAAGACTTTGAAATCTAAATTGTTTCAATGTAAAGCACTGACGGCCACAGCTGGAGTTCTCTATGCAATTCTGGTCACCACACTGAAGAGCATTCAGCAAAGATCTATGAAGATGTTGCCTGGAATGCAGAGCTCTAGTTATGAGGGACAGTTGGATTGGCTAGCATTGTTTTCCTTGAAACAGTGGAGGCTGTTTATGTATAAAATTGTAGGGGTTAGGGAGAGTGGATACAAGGCTATATTCCTCTTGGTCCAGGGGCTAATAACCAAGGAACATATATTCGGGTAGGAGCTTTGGAGAGGGCTTGGTGAGAAGTTTTGTTGCCCAGACGGTGGTGGGGATCTGGAATTCAATTTGTTGAAAAGGTGGTAGATGCAGAAACCCTCAACATTTAAAAGGTGCTTGGGTTATGGCACTTCAAAGTGTATATCTGAGAGACTACTCTAGTGGGATACAGCTGGATGGCTACTTATCTGATGGAGACACAGTGATCAAATGGCCACCTTCCTGGACACTCTGACTCTTACTATTTTGTTAATATTTTGTATTTGATTTAATCTAGTTAAGATTTCAGACATTAAAAGCACCTTATGGTATAAATATTTAATATTTGAAATCTCTAATAAATAGCCTATATGTGATGTGTTGCCTGTCTCTGAAGGATTCCTAACCCCACCAGTACTTTGCTGAGCTCATATACTCCCCAGATCTGCTGGGTAACATACCTTTACAAGGCTAGTAATTCACTTACTTTGCACTAATAACCTGAGTGAGATGGGTTCCACTTGTACCGTGCCAACTGGGGAACTTAAAACTGTGAACTGGTAATGGAGCATAATGTGAAAATGTGCGAAGGATATATTCCTGAATGGAGCAGGCACCCACAGTACAACAGGGATTAGATTCAGCTGCAGTTCATTTTTGCTACAAATTATTGTGTCATACCTTCCCTGACATAGGGCCGTAGACTTTTTTTTTTGAGAGTGAGTACGTTTTGTGCAGGATTCCCTATACCTGGACCTAGCTTTTTTTCTAACTTGTCTATTTTAAATTTGTTGCAATTACTCTTATGAAAGTTGTCATTTTGATTCTTTACACATGTAAAAGGCTTGCTGAGCTGATGTTTGCCAGGGACCTTGCCAACAAATGGTTATGAAGGTAGCCATGCAGATGGATTTTTAATTTCTTTTTCAGCCATTGCAGACACCGTCATTTTCCAAATCTATATCTTTTGCCTTTCAAGTCTCTGCAATTATATTTTCATCTCTGCCACAGAAATGAAGTGACTTGAGTAAAATTCACAAGTGGGAATCTCTAAATGACTGAGTGCGCTCATCCCATCATTGGATGGGTAACCACACTGTCTTCCAACATCTACCTGCTGCTGTACTGCTTGGTAACCTTGCTAGTGTTCTTTCTCTGAACTGCATCCAATGAAATGGTATCTTTCCTTTTCTAAAACATGATAAAGTTTGGGGCTAATCAAATCTTTATCATTGTTAAAGTGCAATAATCCATTAAAAATAGTACTTTAATTGCTGTCAACTCGCCTCTCCCACAGTTTTTATTTAAAGCAACGACTTGTTCAAACTCTTGCCTATTGTAGTGTTTATGACTTGCAATAAAGATGGGAGGATAAAGGCCATGAGAGTTTTAAACATCCACATTCAGTATTGGCATCAAATTAATTATCAGTGACTTTTCTAATACTGTCCTGTATTCTGGATTCTGCACAGATTATACATTAGTCAAACGCCTCATACTCAGGAACTGACACTGGCAGAATACCTGAAACAACTTTCTAGACATCGGAACTTTGCTTGGTTTGTGACCATGAACTTGGTGCAGGTAAGGCCAGAACTTTATTTCCAAGGGATTCGTTTAAAGATTTGGGGCTTGGCAGAGAAAATTGGCTAATGATTTTTAAACATCCGAAGATTACAGAAAGGATACTTTGTGTTGTACAGCGACAATAATTTGTGAAGGCCATTTTTTAAACTGAGTAAAAATGGGCAAATATCCTGCTGTAAACAGAACAAAACTGCGTAAAAGGAAGGTGTTTGTAATTTTAAAAGCAAGTTACTGGAAAACATAATAAAACAAAAAACTGCGGATGCTGGAGATCTGAAACAAAACAGAAATCAGTGACTCTTCATCAGGAATTCGGATAAATCACCAAATTTGAAATGTTAACTTTCTCTTCTCCCCACAGATGTTGCTAGACCTGCTGAGTTTCTCCAGCAATTTGTTCTTTCAATGAGAGAACATTTTGACTGATACTTACTATGTTGCCTTCTTTGGTTAGTGACAAAGAAATCCAGGATTTGGGCAATGTAGGATTTTCAGGGAAAGTGGCTCCATGAAAGTCTCCCAAAGGAGTTCCAAACCTTTGGATGTAGAAAGCTGTAGGAACAGCTGATAATCAGGCAAAGGAAGAAGCTGATATGCAACAGAGCAGAACTGATGTACAGGGGAGGACTGGAAGTCGTATAAAGATAAATCTTTATCTTAAAGGAACAAGGATGGGGAGCTGTGAAGTTTAAATTTTAAAAAATTGATGAGGCCAATTGTAGATCGACAAGTACGTGCAGGATGTGGTGTGGGGCATTGGATATGTGCGGCTGAACTTTTATGAACTGCAAACTTGGAGGGTGGACCAGGGGAGACTGGCCAAGAAAAGTACAAGGTAGAAAATAATTGAAGTGCATAGCATGATGAAGGAACTGTGTGCTGTTCCTCATTGGTTGTTTGTCAATTGCTGCCATCGGTTGGGGTCCGTTAGTTCGGTTGTCTGGACACAAATGTCTGGGTTCAATTCCTGCACCAGCTGAGGTTACCTTGAAGGACTCCTCTTCTCAACCTCTCACCTCACCTGAGATGTGTAAATTCCCAGGTTAAACCACCACCAGTTATGTCTCTCTCTAGCGAGAAAGTAGCGCTATGGTCCAGTAGGACAATGATGACTTTACCTTTTACCTTATCAGAGGCATTGGAAAACTTGCTGGAAAAGAGGAAGTATTATAAACGTAATCATTGTTACAACAGTATATTAGTCACCAGACTGAAACCATTGGCTCTGTTTTCTCCTGACAGAGGCTGCCAGGCTTTACTGAGTTTCACCAGCAATTTCTGTTTTCTTTTCAGATCCGCCACACCTGCAGTTTTTTTTAATTTTAGTATTTCAGTGGGGACAAATATGAAAATGGCTGAAATTTGATTGCATGATCTGTACTGAAGTCATGTGTTTTTCTGAGATTAGCTGATTTAACACATTGTTAAATGCCTTCTTTTTCTTTGAAAGGTATTTCACTGCCACTTCAACAGTAATTTCTTTCCATTGTTTATGGAGCACCTCCTTTCAGACAAGATTTCACTCTCCACAGGATCCTTTCTCCTAGGTAAGCACAGTGCCTGTGATCACAGATGATAGAGAATCAATAGGTTCAGCAGTGATTTCTGTTTTTCCTCTGTCTCCTCCCAAGTTGTGCAAGTCTGAAATGAACTCCGATAAGGCTGTATAAGAATTAGAGATGCCGCACGACAGTTTATTTGTAATTAGTTTATTTCTTGGCTTGGTATTTAGTTCCCAAGATGAATCGTTTACATGTTATTTGGTGTAATAATGTAGCGAAAATAATAAACATGCATAGTGTTGGAGGAACTCAGCAGGTCTGGCAGCATCTGTGGAGAAAGAAACAGGGTATGGAGTTAATGTAATGAGTCTGGTATGACTGCTGTTCAGAATCCAGTGAAGATGACTGGTTGCAAAGTCAAATTAGTCACCAATACGCGAATATTGAAATAGAGGTAAGAAAGGCATGGATGAGGGTTTCAATAGTTAATGAGCAGAGTTAGCTCCTTGTCTAGCAGTCATTAGAGCAATGCTAGTTTGAATTTCTTTTTAGTTGGAGGAGAAAGCATGGAGGAGTGCTTCATGGCTATAACAAAATGCAACAAAAATTGAAGCATTTCTTTTTTTTTTCAGGTGCATCATACATTGCTCCACACCTAAACAACCTCTATTTCCTGTCACTGTGCCACAGATTTGGGGTGTATCTGGTTATCCGATGGTTATTCTTCATAAAACTGACAATGAGTTTGATGATGTTACTGGCAGGACCAGATCAAATCTACCTACTTTGTTTCTTCATTGCCAGGTATAGCAGCATTCTTCCTGTAGAGCTTGCAAGTTGGGAGCAGTTTGATAAGATTGTTAACCCAATACTCAATGACTATTACAGATTGGTAACCAGAGCAACAATCAGAAGTAATAATGTGAAATTTTAAGCAAGTTTCTTTAATTGGGTTGTTGAAAGGCTGAAGAAAAGGAAATTGGGGATATTGATCACTTGATTTTGGCTTCCATTTTCCATTATCCTTGGGAGGTTCCATTAAGATGCAGTGTTGCTGGCCTCGGAGTCTGAAAAAGCATGAATTTGGATTTCACTACTCAGGAGCTCGATGCATAATTCATGTTAACAATAGTAAGGTTATTTATTCAGCAGCATAACTAAAGCCTGGAAGGTTTCACCTGCGGTTCATCTGATCAAGATGTTTTGAACTGCTCTAAAATTCCTCCTTGTATTCTATAAAGTTAGATTAGAGGCTCAGAGTATGTTAGTTTTTAACCTAAAGTACTGACTCCTCATCAATTTAATCCTATATAATGGGTATTTTACATGAGGGGTTGAATTACTTTGCAATTTTGAACATGACAGCAGTTCATGCTGTGAAATGTAGTTCATGTTATTAAATGTGATTCATTTGGAGGTCCGTCATCTCGGTTCCAAGACATCTGTGCAGGAGGACCTCAGGGGAGTGTCCTCGGCCCAACCATCTCCAGCTGCTTCATCAATGATCTTCCCTCCATCAGAAGGTCAGAAGTGAGAATGTTCACCAATGATTGCGCAATGTTTAGCACCATTCGTGAGTCCTCTTACTAAAGCAGTCCATGTCAAAAAGCAGCATAACCTAGACAAAATTCAGACTTGGGCAGAAAAGTGGGAAGTAACATGCACCATGCAATTGTCAGGAAAGGATCATCTCCAGCAGTAAAAACTGTAACCATTGTCCCTTGACATTCAGTGGTGATACCAATTTACTGAAAAATTTACCAAGCTCCTCCAACAGCACCTTCCAAACCCACAACCACTTTCATCTAGAAGTGCATCACTGAAGATACGTGGGAACACCACCCTCTGCAAGTTCCCCTCCAAGCCACTCACCATCCTGACTTGGAAATATATCACTGTTCCATCAGCATTAAATTATGTGCAGCAGTGATTTCCATCTGCTGATTCTGGATCACTGATGCTCAGATGTGCCTCTCGTATGAAGATCAGGCACAACTGAAGAGTCATGAATTACAAATCTACGAAGCTATTTTCCCTCTGATCTGTTATAGGAGATGTAACTTCTAAATGACTATATTTAAGTTACATAAATCTATTTTGGAATTGGGCATAATTTCAGAATGGAGCTGAAGAAGACATCTCAACTACTTCCACAATTTTGAAATAGAGTATACACTACCTTTTTCCTAAACGGTTTATTTGCAATGAAATACTCTTTGAAACCATAAAAGAAAATCAGCTTTGATAGCATTGCGCTCTTTCACGCACTGAAAGCTGACAAACTGAAACACCCAGTCTTATGGAGCAAAGTGAATCGAACTGAGTCAAAATATACTGCACCATCACATTACTGAAGTTGTGGTCCACAACTCGGTACAATGATCTGCCACAAATGAATAGAAGCCTGAGTTGCTAGTTGTACAGTCCATGTTACTTTAATGTTACCAAATCCTTCTATATTGAGTGTTGCTTCTGGTTGTCATGGTAGCTTTGAAAGCAGTTAAGTATTGGAATTAGATAGTATATTAAGATTGAATTTAAAAGCTGATTTGATCTTGAGTGATTGTTGAATTGTAGTTCCTTGGCTGTTGAATTAGAAGTGTATTAAATTAACGATAAGTTCTTTCCTTAGTAACATGAATACAAACAAAAATATCAAATATATTCTTTCCCGTATTGTAAATTATGTTGTGGCTTGCATTTAGGAAGCATTTCTGATGAACATTTGGTCTTGTCTTAGATTCTATGATAACTGAATTAAGATAAAAATCTTTTAAATGGTTAATTTTGTTAGTAGATATTTTGTTAATAGTTAGTTGGTTGCTATTAGTGAGCTTAGCAACTTGTTTATCATTGTTCTATTACTGTGCCTGTATGTGACATTGCCAGGAATTCATTTAAATGCCTACTTCTATTTAAAATTGTAATGTGATTGCTTATGACTAAACAAATGGGTTTAATGATAAATTGAAACATTGATCCATTTGTACTCTTGTATAGCCTTTAGTTATTAGTGGATGTATTTCGCTTAACCCCATTATTCCCTGAATGGCAAATCAATTCATATGCTTCAGATTCTACACCCAGCCCTACACCAAACACAGGCACATATATCCCAGATAACAAGGTGTAGAGTTGGATGAACACAGCAGGCCAAGCAGCATCAGAGGAGCAGGAAAGCTGACATTTTGGGCCTAGACCCTTCCTCTCCCCCATTTCTGAAGAAGGGGGTTCTGAAATAAATAGGGAGAGGGGGAGGCGGATAGAAGATGGATAAAGGAGAAGATAGGTGGAGAGGAGACAGACAGGTCAAAGAGGCGGGGATGGAGCCAGTAAAGGTGAGTGTAGGTGGGGAGTTAGGGAGGTGATAGGTCAGTCCAAGGAGGACGGACAGGTCAAGGGGGCGGGATGTGGCTAGTAGGTAGGAGTTGGGAGGAGGGACAGGTTAGGGAGGCGGGGATAAGCTGTCCTGGTTTTGGGATGCAGTTGGGGGACGGGAGATTTTGAAGTTTGTGAAGTCCTCATTGATACCATTGGCCTGCAGGATTCCCAAGTGGAATACGAGGTGCTGTTCCTGCAACCTTCAGGTGGCATCGTTGTGGCACTGCAGGAGGCTCAGGATGGACATGTCGTCTAAGGAGTGGGAGGGGGAGTTGAAATGGTTCGCGACTCGGAGGTGCAGTTGTTTAGTGCGAACCGAGCGTAGGGATTCCGCAAAGCGGTCCCCAAGCCTCCGCTTGGTTTCCCCGATGTAGAGGAGGCCACAACGGGAACAGCGGATACAGTATACTACATTAGCAGATGTGCAGGTGAACATCTGCTTGATGTGGAAGGTCTTGGGGCCTGGGATGGGGGTGAGGGGGCAGGTGTAGCACTTCCTGCGGTTGCAGGGAAAAGTGCCGGGTGTGGTGGGGCTGGAAGGGAGTGTGGAGCGGACAAGGGAGTCACGGAGAGAGTGGTCCCTCCAGAAAGCAGATAAGGGTGGGGAGGGAAAAATGTCTTTGGTGGTGGGGTCAGATTGCAGATGGCGGAAGTGTCGGAGGATGATGCGTTGGATTCGGAGGTTGGTGGGGTGGTACGTGAGAACAAGGGTGAGTCTGTTTTGGTTGTTATTGCGGGGAGGGGATGTGAGGGATGAGTTGCAGGAAATGCGGGAGACACGGTCGAGTGCGTTCTCGACCACTGAGGGGGCGACGTTGCGGTCCTTGAAAAAGGAGGGCATCTGAGATGTACGGGAGTGGAATGCCTCATCCTGGGAGCAGATGAGGTGGAGGCGAAGCAATTGGGAATAGGGGATGGCATTTTTACAGGAAGGTGGGTGGAGGAGGTGTATTCTAGGTAGCTGTGGGAGTTGGTGGGCTTGAAATGGATATCGGTTTCCAGGTGGTTGCCAGAGATGGAAACAGAGGTCCAGGAAGGGGAGAGAGGTATCAGAGATGGTCCAGGAAGGGGAGAGAGGTATC